CTTGCTTAAATCCAGCAGTTCCTTAATTTGCTCTTGTCTTTTCTCTTCTCTGACAGGAAGTGGAACATGTGAAACACCATAGACACGCTGCTCTGAAACTCATTATACGAAGGTTAACTGTAATTCACAAAAGGACAAAACAATCAAAAGAAATTATCCCGGAAAATGCATCAAAATTATTCAAATTTTTAGCAAAAACGCGAATAAAACGTTTTTTAGATCTCTCAAGATTTAACAAATGCACTGCTAATCAAGACAAGGTGGTAATGCTCAACCCAAACCAACGGCATGTCGGAGCAGCTAGTCCTTCCCACTGTTTCCGTCGAAAGCAAACACTGAGCCGTTAATTCCCTAAGGAGACGAAACGAATATCAGGATCACCACCAAACAATGGAATTACGGTAAAAATGGAAAATTTGCCCAGTGCATAGCTGGAGATCCAGACTAAACAGCCGTTTCAGATAACCCCATCATTATTTACGTGGTAGGGCATGTTAACCAAAAATAACTAGCGATGTGTACCAGGGTAGCTGATGCGATCATACTTTGTGTGCAACTGTGCAGGGAACTTTGCTTTTAAAAATTTCATTGCTTTACATTTTGATATGTGTAGAAAGTTTTGCGGTTTCCAAGTTATTAATTTTGGCGCTAAAACATTCGAGTGCCCCTACATGAGATCTAAGGATGGGCAGGGACTCAATTTATACGCAGATAGGGGGTATTCTTCTGAAATTTCAGCTTTCGGGCTTTTTTGGCCCACAAATTAACAATTTTCGCGCCGAAACTTCCGCACGCTTGTACGTGAGATCGAGATGTACATGAAAGCTGAATTTAAAACGGCGGGGTTTTATGCCAACAGGAGGACATTCTTTTAAAATATCCGCTTCCAAGTTCTCGTGCTTCCCGAATTACTAATATAGGGGCCAAAATTTTCAGGCATAGACTGTATGTGGGGCGTAGACTTAAATGGACGCTCAATTTGAATTTGCAAGATCACATATGGGAAGGGAACACCCCTTAAAATTTCAGCCCTCACTTCTTCAGTTTCCGTGTTGAAAATCAAGAAACACACAAGCACGGGCAGGATTTCGATAAAATGCGGCTTTTTTTCGGCAATTGTTGTAGCACAAAATGCAAAAAAACCAATCCCACCTTCAGTTGGATTAAAATGCACAGCTTCAGTTTGTTCGGTTCTATCTTTTTCAGCTTCTTCGGCACGCCGCTTTTCCTCTTCACGCTTCTTCGCATCAAAATCAACCAAAAATTCAACCGGTTCATTATCACCTAAATATTAGCAAAACTGTCCAAATTTAACAGATTTGAGAAATTCAGCACTCGTAACTGAATTAACCTCATGTCACACCCTTTCATATTTCATTCTCTATGTCAGATACAAGCAGGAAAAGTTCTACTAGCAAGTTGTATATTCCAGATTTTCTCTATTTTCCTTGTCTTTTTATTATAAGAATCCTCAACTTCCTCTTAACGATTCATTAAACACTTTAGGCACAATTTCCTAACTTTTAAGGAATTCTTAACCATTCAACAGATTTCTTGCACATCAATAAAACCTGCCATATTAGAAACCATTTGACAGGATATGTCGCTCATCGTGCAAACAATCACTGGACATCGCGTGGCAGTAAATGTACTCACGAGAAAGCAAACGACCACTTCTGGTATACCATGGATGAGGGTAAAATCCCAAGAAATCCACGCAGCAACCGCTCGAGCTTCTTAGCAAAAACCCCGTTAACTGCCCCGTCCACTAACGAACCCACAAAGTGGCCCATATTAAAAGCATTTTTCCTTCACTTCAACAGCAACTGTGTTCTCGAAATTAAAGCTTTAAAACTATAAATCCAACAAACCATTCAAAACTGCTTCACCGCGACTTAACCGGGCGTAAATTTCGCTTTTTTCCTCCAGTATCCTTTGCACTCGTTTTCTTTGTTCCTCGTCTTGTTGCACTGATTTTTCCAGCTCACGGATACGTTCCTGTCTTCGCTGCCTCTCTTCAGTGAGTTTTTTATCCTCCTCTTTAGTAACCCTAAGTACACTCTGAAAAACTGTAATAATAAAATTTGGGATGAAATATTATTCGCTTCGAAAAGAAATGTATTACAAATAAAAACTTGCTCCTACTCTGCTTCAGGATATCGGAAATCCACCATAAAATCCACTAAATTCCTTTGAAAACAATATCCAGCATCCATGGCTGATCTTATGTTGAAGCGTTTATCCATCAAAAGTACTAGCGCAGCAAATCCCCAGTGGTGTACTCAGACACATGCACTAACTACTACGCTCTAATGCAGAGCATTAAAATTACTCGTGCAAGCTAAACTACAAAACCAGTTGCAAGGATCCCCTATTAGGATGATGGCAGCTACGGGTGGGTGGCGAGGGTGGAAGGGCGACGGGGAAAGGGCAAGGACTAAAAAGACAAGTGGTGCAAGATTTGCTCAGAAAAATAAAAACTACAATTTCGCAAGGGCTGGAACTTAGCTAAAAAGGTTTCTGCTAAACAAAAGTTAAACTCTATCAAACAGAAGCAAAGCTTAGTCAAAATAACACAAAAAAATATTCAAAACAAATTCAAACATAAGAAATTTAAACAGAGGCGGCTCACGAGGAAAAAAAAAAACGTGTATAAATAGGTATAAAAACATAGCTAGAAAAGCACTCAACGTGGTCTACGAATGATAAATTCAAATAAGATAATAATGCTAAAAACACAACAAAGACATCTTTAAACAGCTAAAGGCCCTGTCAGCTGCTTCTGTTAAGCAGACATTCTCTTCAAAAAACGAAACGAACGTTAGGACTGCCAGCAGGCTAAACGCCATGTGATGCAGTACTGGTTGAAGCAACCCAAAAAAATTACCAAATCTATGAAACTGTCAAAAAACCAGACTATGAATTTTAAGTTTTCGTAAGCACAAAGAAGGTGCGCCAAAACCACAGAATTAAAAAATAATATATTTTAACAGAAAGATGCCAGCAAAACCGGGAAGAGGAAATCATATTGGGTAAAGATGAGTTAAGAATCGGGAAGCAGTCCCCTTTCCACGAATCCTGGGAAAACCCTTAACAAAACCCGTTCTTCTGCCAAAAAAGGGCTCGCTGTCAGACCGCTTCTAGAACCGTAAAACAAATAAAGCAGTACCTTTTTTGGGATCTTCTCGGCCCCAACTGTCGTTTTTTGGCGTTGTTCATTGATTTTTCGATACAGTTCACCTTTCAGAATGAAAAGCGACGAGGCATCGGCCGTTTCCAAATGATGCTTCTCGCGACTTGATGTTGACGGCTCATCCACTGTCGTGCTCATTTCTGAAAAATATTGTTGAACTCCATAAAATTTCCCTCTCATATATAAGCTAATCGTTGAACTGGTCCCTCTGAAAAACGAAA